ATCTAGGGGCATCAGACAGGAAATAAAGAAAGACGAGGGCAAGGATTCAAGGGTGGTTTAGAACAGGACAATGGCGTGTGCAGTGAGCGGGGGTGTGGGCAATGTGCACGGCCTCCACGCCTATCGGCTCCATTGACATATAGTGTCCCCGTGACACAGTACCTTTTGGATCCGAAAGGTACCGGTACTCAGCAAGATTCCAAGTGAGGACAAGCTTCCGGGAAGCAGCCGCCCAGCCTGGGACTGCATTCTAAACCTTCTCCATAGACCGTGAGAGAAAGGACATGTGCTCTTTCTGGGCCAAGGCTCCACCCGTTCTTCCACCACCTGCTTCCTGGCTGCGGAGGATGCGGAGGTTCTAGGGGACACTGGACACCTAAGAGAGAAGGCGATGCTGACTAGGAATTGGGGCTCTGGACTGTAATGTGCCTGAGGAACCAACCTTTATTGTGCCAAAATGCGGAAATTGTGGGTGTACTTGCTACTGCAGCTTGAGTTTCCTTTGACTTGATGTCTTTGCAGAATTATATGCCTTTTCCACTTAATAGCTAATATTTAAATCTCAAATAATTTATTTTTATATAATTTGCTGAGCAAATGTCTAATATGAGTCTCTTGATGCAATTTATCTTATTTAAATACTAGCATGATTTTTATGATTATGTCATGTGCTTGAGCGTATGTGCTGCAGTGGGTTGTTCGAGGTGTTTTGTGTCAGGCACTGGAGGAACACACAGAGATGCCGAGATTGGGGACCCAGAGCAGCTCAGAGGCGGGAATTAACTCTTCAGTCTGCAATAAACAATGGCCTCCAACAAGACTGCATCACAAAACGTGGGAAAGAAACAGACGGAAAGAGTAAAAGCGTTGGCGAGGCAGAGCCTGAAGAATTTGTAGTGGAAAGCGTGTTGGACCAATGCGTAACGAATGGGAAGGTGTATTTCCTGAACTGGAGGGAGTCACAGATGCTGACGAGACTTGGGATCCTGGAGAAAATGTAGGATGTCCAGAGTTAATTGAAGCATTTCTTAATTCTCAAAAAGCTGGCAAAGAAAAAGATGGTACAAAAAGAAAGTATTTATCTGCAGGAAGCAGATGCGTGGGTGCGAGGAGCTGGGGAAGGGAGCACTGGGAGTGACAACGGAGGGGTTGGGGTTTCTTTTTGGGGTGAGAAAAACGTTCTAAAATTGATTGTGCTGAGAGTCGCACAACTAAAAACCACTGAACTGCACACTTTAATTTAGTGTTATATTTTTGAACTGACATTTTAAAGGGGTGGATACTGTGTATGTAAATTTTATCTTAATTTTTAAATAATGTAAAAAAAAATAGGCGACTAAAGTAGCACTGGGGTAGCTACCTGGCAGGGGAGGACCATGATCAGAAGGTGGTTCTCCCAGGGCGAGCTTGTCCCTTGCGCTCCAGGTGTGCGGACTCCTGCCATTTCCCCATGGGAAACGTGACGGATCACTTATGGTAGTGGGGGACTGCGTTCGCACTCTCCCCTGAAAAAGAAAAAAAGAAATACCACTGGGAGAAAAAGCAGAAGGAAGTCTTAGCCCTGGGAGCAGGAAGAGCGAAGAGGAAGTGACATTACAGGTCCCGGGGCTGTGTGGGGAGAGGAGGAAAATCGGGGCCTCTGCAGGGTGGGCACGGCACACGCTGGGAGGGACGAGGCAGGAGGTGCCAGGGCACCATGAGGAGGAGCCCGCAGCGAAGGGGGCTGGGCCGGGGTGGGGTGAGGGGGCAGGGAGGGGCCTTTGCCACCCTGCTGGCCGCAGACCCATCTGTCAGGAAGCCAAGGGTCAGCGGGCCGGCCCAGGGGACAGTGGGCCGCTGCTAGGTTTCACTTTCCTAGAAGTCCGAGATTTAGAGGTTGTGGAGATGAGGTCACCGGATCAAAGCGCACGGAGGGCGTGTGCAATGAACCACTACCAGGAAGATCATACGCTGAGTGAAAGGAAAGCAAAAGTGTACAGAGGACCGACTGTCAGCAGGAGGCCGCCTGGGCTGGGTCCAGGACACCCGCGGGGCTTTCCTGCAGACGGAGAAAAATCCCCTTGTCCAGGGGACTTGCAGAGCTGGCTTCCTGTTAGCCACCTGGGGTGTGGGGAATAACAAGCCCGCCCCAGGGGACCAGGGTCACTGTGCCCCCTGTCCCCCCTACACACACACACACACACACACACACACACACACACACACCCCTCCTGCTGATAAGCTGTTCAGGAGATGCCACTCAGAGCTCACAGCCAAGGCAGGGGACGGGCAGGGAGGATAGTTCCTGAGCCCAGACGCAGGGTGCGGAGAAGGAGGCGCTGTCCCACCCGCCATGGGCCTGCACTCCAAACCTGGCCCTCTCTGCCAGCTCGCCTGCTCCCCGACCCCTTCCTTTGAAAGAGGAGGAGGGAGGGCCCCTGTGCACGTGGAGGTGGTGCCTCTGATCCTCTGGGGTAGCCGCCCTCACTCTGGCTCGGATCTGCATGGACTGGGTGGGCCACGGCAGATGGTCACAGTTCCATCTCATAACCAGGAAAACTGAGGCCCAGAGACTGTGTCTGACTTACCCAAGGCCGTTCGCCAGCCCTCAGGTTGTGCCATTTGTGGTTTGATGTGTATGCAGATCACCAGGTAGATAACACCTCTTCGCATCCCCCCACAGTTCCCAACAAAAAGGAGCCAAATTGGACATAGAGTGGTTTCAGTGAAAGGGTAGACAGTGAGAGCCCTTCCCAGGCCCCGTCCTGGGCCCCGGCCATCTTTCTGGCTTCCTCTCCAGGACCCTCCTGACTCCCGCTGCTCCCCGTGGGTCCTGCTGGCCAAAGAGAGGATCAACTACATTTTGCTCCTCACCTGTCCCATCAAAGGGTATGTGGCCCTGGGGTTGGCTCCCCCAGGAGCCCTGAGCTCCCTGAAAGGGAGAGGCCAGGGCTGGCCTCTTGCCGCAGCCTCCGTTGAATTTAATCGGCTATGGATGCAGCCAGCCGGGCAGGATGGGGAGAAACCAGTTGAGATAAATGGGAAACAACCCATGTGCCTGTGGCTGCTCCAGAAAGGCCCTGCCAACAGAGATGGTCTGACCTGGGTGGTGGGCACACGATGCAGTGCACAGATCACACATCTAACCAGTGCACACTCGAACCCTGTATGGTCTTGTTAACCAACGTCACCCAACGTCTAATTTAAAAAAGAGAAAGCACCGGCCGGCTGCTTTAAAAAAGAGAAAGCACCGGCCGGCTGCGACCTGTGCTGTGGGCATATGGGTGACAGAAAGCATGGGCGATGGACGCCGTGGGGTGATGGACACTGTGGGGCGATGGACGCCGTGGGGCGATGGGGGGGCCACTCCTGTGGGGGGAGGACGCCGTGCCGGTGCTGGGACTTGAGGCCACATCAGCCAGCCAGTCCCACCTCCGAGCCATCCTGCAGGCTCCCTTCCTCCACCTCCCTTTCTTCCCCTCCCTATCATCTCGGTGTCCTCACATGGTCCTCCCTCTGTGTGCCTGAGTCCTAATCTCCTCTTGTAGAACCCAGTCAGATTAGATCAGTGCCCACCCTAGTGACCTCATTTTACCTTAATTCCCTCTTTAGAGGCCCGTCCCCAAATACAGTCACATCTATATACATAAAAGGCTACTATGCAAAGTGTCCCCTTGGGAGTTTGACCAGGAGACAGGTCGACCAGTTGCTATGACATGCACTGGCCATCAGGGGACAGACTCTGACCAGTAGGTTAGCTTGCTGCTGGAGTCTAGCTGATCGGGACTGAGTGAGAAGGGCTGGACATGCCCTGGAGCCCCTCATCCCTCCCCAGCTCCAACTGTGCACCGTTGGGGTCCCTCAGCCTGGTCTACACCCTCTCAAAATCCAGGACCCCTCAGGGGATGTCAGAGAGCCAGTTTTGGCCTGACGGTGGAATGACCAGTTGCTATGACACACACTGACCACCAGGGGGCAGACGCTCAATGCAGGAGCTGCACCCTGGTGGTCAGTGCGCTCCCACAGGGGAGCACTGCTCAGCCAGAAGCTGGGCTCATGGCTGGTGAGCGTAGTGGTGGTGGCAGGAGCACTAGGGATGTCTGACTGATGGCTTAGGCCCCTTCCCAGACTGGGAGAGGGTGCATGCCGGGCTGAGGGACCCCCCCTCCCCCAAAATGCACAAATTTTGTGCTTGGAGCCTCTAGTTTACTATAAAAGCAACAGCATGGGCGAATCTCAAAATAATGATGTTGAGGGAAAGGAGACAGGCAAACATTTCTAGAAAATGAAATAAATCTGTGAGTGGGGGGAGGGCAAGAGGAACCTTTTGGGAGTAACTGTTATGCTCATGACCCTGACTGCAATCGTTTTGCAGGCGTATATGTAAATCCAAATCTGTCAAATTGTAACAAGTTAAATATGTGCAGTATATTGTATGTCAATTATACCACAAAGCTGTTTTTAAAAACCAAGAAATGAGAAGTCCTCGCCTGAGGGGAAGCTGCCCTGGACCACTCCCAGGCTGAGACCAGCCCAGAACGCCAGTCCCTGCACTGCACTGCCACCTGCTGGCGGAGCCAAGCCTTTGCATGCTGGGCAGGCACTGCCCCGGGAGGCACCTCCTGAAGGACCTGGGATGCTGCTGCCCCAACCAGATACGCGAGGGCTGCGGCCGGGTAGGCAGCTGGGGCTGATGGGGACTGTGGGGAGCCTGGGGGCAGCCACTGTTCAGCTCCACACACTTACCAGAACCAGGGCCCATTGTTGCCACACTTTCTTATTTTTTTTAAAAAAGCTGGAAATCTAGGTTTATATCAGAAACCTCCAATGTTCAATGGTAAACTTGTTTGCTGGCTGGGCTACATTCAAACATGTCGGGGCCGGAATCAGCCTGGGGGTGACCAGTTGGCAGCCTCTGAGCCAACACGTTGCATTTTCTTCGCAGGAGCCAGCGCTGGGGCCAGAGGCCCGGCTCAGTCTCCTTGCTAACAGGAGGGCGGAGACACAGAAGTCTACCCAAGGAGGGAGACAACAGGTTAAGAGGCCCCGTTTGTCCCTGAGGCTGTGCCGTTATCGGTCCTTCCTGCATTTTTTGGAAGAAAAATTATTCCATTTTATCATCATCATTATTATTATTTGGATATTTACAGTGCAATGCTCCAGAGCTGTGTTTTTTTAATCTTTATTGTTGAGAGTATTGTCCTTCCTGCGTTTGAAGTTGAGGTGTCTGGTGTCTGTCAGGCGGGAGGACCGTGGATGAAAAGTGCTGAACACCCAGTGGAGCGAGCGTGTCCCCAAAGAGAATCAGCTCTGGCTTTCCCTTGCCTTCAGCCCTGAGGCACTGGAGTGTCCCTGTCCTCCGGTCAGTCCGGCCTGTGGCAGGACCAGAGCGCCTCGGACTCCAGGACACTGCCTGCAGAGGACGCCAGCAGAGGGCCCCGGTCACCAAGATGGGGCACCACGTACCCAGTCCATCTCGCAGGGCATCTGCCGGGGGCCTGCCAACCTGGCTCTCCTTCCTGGTGCCCCTTGCCTGGCCGCAGGCCTCCACGCTGGGCAGCCATTGCCTGGCAGCCTAGGCCATAGAGCAGGTGATGTGGCCACCTGCCCCCATGAGCTGGGCTCTCGATGGCCATGAAGCCACAAGGATACACTTAAATAGGTCCTGCGATGTTTGGAGGTTAAGGAAGCCCAGGTGTTTCTTTGGGGGTCAGTGTCCATCAACCATGGGGGGTGAGGAAGGCCACACACACGAGCTTCCTGCTCCTGCCTTAGCCTGGCCAGACTCGCAGAGAAAGAGAGAGAGAGAGAGAGAGAGAGAGAGAGAGAGAGAGAGAGAGAGATCCATGTGTCTCACATCCACTGGTTGCCTCCCACACATGCCCCAGATTGGGGGTGGGGGGCAGGAGCGAACCTTCAACCCAGGTACATGCCCTTGACCAAGAATCAAACACTGGCCAGGGCTGAATGAATTAAATTGTTAAAAAATGAAGCTTAATATCAAAGTACACTGATGCAAAACGAGAACTTGGTCTTCTCTCCGTTAGGAAGACAAAGTTCCTTGGGTTATTGGTCTGCCTGGACTGGGGATCAAACCCACAGCCTTGGGGTATGGGGACAACACTCTAACCAACTGAGCTGCCCAGCCAAGGCCCCAAACATTCTTCATGTGTCTAGTTACTTCTCCCCTTTCTAGCAGCTTCTTTGGGTTTCTCACTCGTTTTCTGTGAAGCCACCATGCACATAATAAAAAACTGTACCTTTTCTCCTGCTAGTTGGTCTTTTAATTTGCAGGACTCAGGTATAGAACCTAAGAGGGTAAGAAGGAAAATTTCCCCTCCCCTATACAGTAAAGTGCTAATTCTACCCAAGAGAAACCATTTTAGTCCAAATTAATGGAGAAAGCTCTGCCTTAACCCTTTGCCCACTCAAGTTGCCCACAGTACGGCCTGCCTCACACAACGGTGTCTTCACAAGTCACCACTGGAGGGAGAGCAGGCACCGACGACGCACGGCCTCTGTCCGGGGC